ATTTATATAAATACCATGTCTATTTATATATATGTTTATGTCATCTACTATGTGTTATACATAGTAGTATTAGTATATAGTTTATATACTATATATAGATATATTAATATATCTAAAATAGATATATATGCATGCATATGTACATATATACACACACACATACATATGAATGTGTATACATATATATTGTATACATATAAAATATATACGACTCAAGGGATATAATCCTGTAATGAGCATTTTTATCTCTACAATTGTAAAGTTAAAAAACAACGGCAAGAAAAAACAAATTTAAATTAAAGTCACTGAAAAGCCTATACAGGCCTAAAATATGCTTTGTTGAAAACTCTTAGACTTTAATAAAAATATATTCTTTTATTTTTGGTTACAAGGGTAACCCTCTACTTGATAGCAAAGGGAAGATATATTCAGAAATGAAAGTAATTTAAAAGTAAAAGATATAAGTAAATTTTTAAAAATAACATATAAATGAAGGCAGGATATGCCACCATTCACCCCCAGCTGAATGTGCCTTTGGCTCTTCCTTTCCCTTGGTCAGAAGGTGAACACCCTGGTTATGCTGTTGCAGATGCTGAAGCCAGGTGCTCACAAGAGAGTGGCCCCATTAGCTCTTCGTTTTAAAGCATGTGGCAATTTAAACGGTGTTGAGCATAATCACTTCAAACACAAAACAAGAGGCTTACTTTCCCAAAAGATGTGTTGGGGACGAAAGAGAGGACCAGGGAAGGTAGAAGAAGAGAATAAGAAGGAAGAATAAAGACAGTGAAGAGAAGGAGAAGATGAAAGTTTTGAGGATCCAGAATCCATAAAAGACAATGGAGTAGGAGAGAGAGGGGTGTCTCAGTGGGTAGAGATGGAAAATTTGTACACCATAAATTCCTGTATTTCAGTTGACTTGTTCTGAAAGGAATGATGAGAAAAACAAAGCCCTCCTATTTCTCAGTTCTTTTCCTTGCCTTTTTTTCTTCAGCACAAATACGACTTAGGAAATCACAGCTTGACAAAAAACACGACACATATAAACTTTAACAGAACAAACCATAATCCGTAATTTCCATTCTTCTTCATTTACCTTTGGAGTGAAAATAATTTAAATAGCAGTATTTATTCAGTGCCTTCTTTGTGCTATCCATTATTGGAGAATCTAGGGGGGAAAAAAGTTAGCTAAGAAAAACAGTTCCTGCCCCCAAGGAGCTTACAGTCTAATTAGGGAGTCAAGACCAAGGTGTATGAAAAGGCAAATGACAATTCAAGGCAACATGTGATAAGGGGCTAATGAATGATCCAGACAATAAATACTGTAAGATCAGAGGAAGAGATCAAGACAGACTGGGGATAGCCCAGGGACGGTTTCACAAAGGAGACACTAAGCTAATATACTAGTTTATTCCTCATAGAGCTGGTTTTAATATCCTTTTCTACCTTGGTAACCCTACATTGGCAAAGCTCCATACTCTCCATGTACTTTTTAAAGCAGAACCTGATACAATATTCACAATAAGGCAGTATCTTTTGGAGTTTAATATCATGGGAATTTCAGAGGGAGGTTGAGCTAGAATTCCAACATCATCTTTTATAATCAAAAAATGCCCTAATACCTTGAGGCAGCATAGTGGTAAGGAAAGATGTAGAGAAGGTCAGGAAGACCTAGGTTTAGATTTTTGCTGCTCATATTTAATTAGCTGTATGACCATGGGAAGCTGACTTCATCTCTGCACCTCAGTTTCCTCATCTGTAAAACAGATATAATACCTGTAGTACCTACCTCACCAGGTTGCTTTAAGGTTTGAGTAAAATAATGTATTAAAGGGATCCTACATAAATGTCAATTGTTATCATCAGAATTACAGATCATTTGGTGAGCAATTAAATGCTCCAAATACTCTGTGACAGGCTCCTAGATGGTACAGTGGATAGAATGTTGGGCCTGGAGTCAGGAAGATTAGTCTTCCTGAGTTCAAATCTGGCCTCAGACACTTACTAGCTGTGTGACCTTGAGCAAGTACCTTAACCCTGTTTGCCTCAGTTTCCTCACCTGTAAAATGAACTGGAGAAGGAAATAGCAAACCACTCCAGTATCTTTGCCAAGAAAATTCCAAAAGAGGGGCAGCTAGGTAGCTGAAGCAGATAGAGTCAGGAGGACCTGAGTTCAGATTTGGACTCAGATGCTTGACACTTGACACTTACTAGCTGTGTGACCCTGGGCAAGTCACTTAACCCCAAATGCCTCACCAAAAAAAAAAAATTCCAAAAGAGGTCATGCAGAGTCTGACAGAATTGAAAAAACAACTAAACAACAACAACTCTGTAATGGTTTCAAATGTAAATTTCATGTTTGTTTTAAATGTATAAAATTACTTGTTTTACACAATATCTAAATCCTTGTTTTTCTTCATGTACACTTAATTGAATGCCCATTCGTGTGTACAAGGAATTATATAATAATAAACCTGGGGGTAAGGAAAGCTAGAATGGCCAAAAACTTCCCTATGGTCCATGGGCCCTAGATTTAAGATCCCTCCCTGAAAGTAAAGAGCACAGGCCTGGGAGTCTGGTGACCTGGGTTTCAGTAACAGTTCTGCATTTACTGGCTGGGTAACCCTGAATCTGTCACCCCATCTTTCTAAGCCTTAGGATTCTTACCTGTAAAGTGACAAAGTTGGCCTAGTTAACCCCTAATGTACCTTCAGTCTCTACCATGCTCTAATTCCATAATTCTCAGGTGCAATGTCTAAACCAAAGGTTATCATTGGATGCATTGCTCGTATTTATTTTGTCCATATTTGGATGGGGCCATTTGTCTTCTTCAAATCCAACATAAATTCTCTTTTCCATAAGAGCCCTTATGTCAGCTACACAAGGTTAGAAAGTGGTCATATATAACTCTGGAGGTCCTAGATAACTGGTTTATCCCCAGCACAGGAAGAGAGGAGTCCATATGCCAAACCCTAGCCCTTCTTTCTTTGCTAGAGATGTCCTTCCTTTTCTCCTAGATTGCTACCAATATCCTCTCTTTTTAGCGATGTGGGTTTCTGTCCAGGAAAGCCCACATTACTTCCTAGGATCAGTAAGAAATGAGGATGAGGTCTGTCAGGGGCAGGGGCATTTTGAAGAGATTGGGAAAGGTCCTCCTTCATCTACCACAGGAATCCCTGAAAAGTATTATTTTGGTTTCAGCATTGCCCTCTCAAGCTCTTTTTAAATTTTTCTTTCATGGCTTAGTTGTACCAGGTCTCAAACCGTATTATAAAATGGTAATCATCAAAACAATCTGGTACTGACTAAGAAATAGAGTAGTGGATCAGTGGAATAGATTAGGTGTACAATATATAGTCATTTACTAATGATTATAGTAGCCTATTGTTTGATAAACCCAAAGATCCAAGTTTTGGGACAAGGACTCACTGTTTGACATAAATTCCTGGGAAAACTGGAAAACAGTTTGGCAGGAACCAAGTATAGACCAGTATCTTACACTGATACCAAGATAAGGGCAAAATGGGTACATGATGTAGACATAAAGGGTGATAATATAAATAAATTAAGAGAGCATAGAATAGTTTACCTGTCAGATCTAGGGATAACAGAAGAATTTATGACCAAATGAGAAAGAGAGCATTATGAGATATAAAATGGATAATTTTGATTACATTAAATTAAAAAGGGTTTGCACAAACAAAACCTATGCAGCCAAGATTAGAAGGAAAGCAGAAAACTGGGGAGGGGGCAGGAATTTACAAGAAGTTTCTCTTGCTGTAAACATAAAGGCCTCATTTCTCAAATATATAGAGAACGGAGTAAAATTTCTAGGAATACAAGTCATTCTCCAATTGATAAACGGTCAAAGGATATGAATAGGCAGTTTTCAGATGAAATAATCAAAGCTATCAATAGTCATATGAAAAGATGCTCTAAATCACTATTGCTTAGAGAAATGCAAATTAAAACAACTCTGAGGTACTATACCATACCTATCAGATTGGCTAATAAAACAGAAAAGGAAAATGACAGATGTTGGAGGGGATGCAGGGATATTGAGAAACTAATGCGTTATTGGTAGAATTGTAACTGATCCAGCCATTCTGGAGAACAATTTGGAACTATGCCCAAAGGGCAAGAAAAACATGCATACCCTTTGACCCAGCAACAGCACTGCTAGGTCTATATTCCAAAGAGATTAAAAAAAAGAAAGGACCTATATGTACAAAAAATATTTAGAGCAGCTCTTTTTGTGGTGGTGAAGAATTGGATATTGAGGGGATGTCCATCAATTGGGGAATGGCTGAACAAGTTGTGGCACATGATTATGATGGAAAACTATTGTGCTATAAGAAATGACAAGCAGGGTGCTTTTAGAAAAGCCTGGAGGGGCAGCTAGGTGGTGCAGTGGATAGAGCACTGGCCCTGGATTCAGGAGGACCTGAGTCCAAATCCGGCCTCAGACACATAACACTTACTAGCTGTGTGACCCTGGGCAAGTCAGTTAACCCCATTGCCTAACCAAAAAAAAAAAAGCCTGGAAAGATTTACACGAACTGATGCTAAGTGAAGTGAGAACATTGTACAGAGTAACAGCAATATTGTATGATGATCAACTGTGAATGACTTAACTATTCTCAGCAATACAATGATCTAAGACAATTCTGAAAGACTCATGACGAAAAATGTTATTTACCTCCAGAGAAAGAACTGATATAGTCTGAATACAGGTCAAAGCATACTTTTTAAAAAAACTTTATTTTTCTTGTGGATTTTTTTGGTCTGTGTTTTCTTTCACAACATGGCTAATATGGAAATATGTTTCGCATGACTGCATATGTATATGAAATTGCTTGCCTTCTCAATGGGGGGAGGGGAGGGAGGATGGGAGAGAATTTATGTAATTGGGAAAAAATAAAATATTTAAAAAGGAAAAAAAAATTCCCTTTGAGGGAGAAACACATCTAGCTTCTAGAACCTTAGGATGAATTAGTTAGTTACCAGGTCTCTTCCTAACAGAAGCAATAAAGACAACTGAAAAGCAGACCCAATTCAGCCTAGTTCCCATTTTTTACTAAGGGCTCCATTCTGTGAAAAGGGGACATTCCATGGGCTGGTGGTACATCTGTAAGTCTGTGTGGTAGTGGGTGACAGGCAAGAGAGGCAGGGTGGAACGCTCACAACCATCCCCTTAAAGAATTAAACTCTCATCATGAGGGGAGAGGAGGGGTTGAAGTACATAGTTATCTTCTTTCCCATTCAATATGCTTTCACCTCTTCTGCTCATTACCTGGAATAGGCAAAGAGCTAACATAAGCATCAGAATCCATAAGTTAATTATCTTCTAAATGTATTGCAATCCCAGGGACAGCAACTGTCTCTCCTGCCAAGCTCTCTACCGAGCTCTCCCCAATAGGAAAGACAGTGTGAGAACTGTCACACCAGAAAGCAGAGTGGGCCTCTGCTCAGTCCTCAGCTACCCCTTCCTCAATCCACTTTAAATAAAGAGGGTTTCCTTGGTCGATGGGTAGGCTGAAGAGCTCAGGAATTTCAAAAGGATGAACTGATCTAAAGGAAGAGAAAAGAGCTGAGTAAGTATGGTTGGAGATATCTCTTGAGAAAGAAACCCTGAGATCTTCATAGATGTATGTACGTCATCTACGATCCACTAGCCAAGAGCTGTTTAGTAGATCATACTGGGTTTTGTTTGTTTAACCTGTAGCCTCTGTCCTCATCAAGGTTCTTGACACACAGAGCAAAGGAGACTTTTGCTCTCTGATATTTACAGGATCTGTGGTTTCATCACTGGAGTATCAGAGCAGATCACAGCTCATCTTTGACCTAATAAATTAGTCTCAGAGAACAGCTGGGGCTCAGGGGGATGAGGTGACTCCCGTACAGCTAGTTAGTATCATAGGAAGAGTTTGAAGCTGGGCCTTTCTGACTCCAAGTCCTGCATTCTATTCAATCTACTATGTTGCTTCTCTTTCTCTCTCTCTCTCTCTCTCTCTCTCTCTCTCTCTCTCTCTCTCTCTCTCTCTCTCTCTCTCTCTCTCTCACACACACACACACACACACACACACACACACACACACACACACCCTACTAAGTGGAATGCTTGTTGCATGCACAGGTTCCATTAAGCATCCTGCCTTAGGTTATATTTGTGACATTCATCAGATTCAGCTCCTTGACCGAACAGCTGAAGGGAAGGGATAAGAGATAAGCTGATGGAAAGAGAGAAGTCTCACCTGATGTAGTTAGAGAGTTCATGTATTTTTGAAGTCTTCGTTTTCACTAACTGTTCAAGAGAAACATCAATGTTTCAGAAATTCATTTCCAGATCATGTGATATCAGTTTCACTTCTGATGAGCTAGGGGGTGGCAGCTTTTCTCCCTGACTATGAAACTATGGATTTCCACTAAGGTCCTCAGGAATGACCCAAGCACTTACACACAAAACTTGGCAGAGGTGGAAATATGCCCCTTCCTCATCTATTAAATAAAAGGGATCACACTAAGTGATTTCTAAGGCCCTTTCCTGCTTGAATATTGCATGTTCTTAGGTCCATTTCAGCTCTGACGTTCTATAATATAAGGTTTCTTTCAGGCTTAACATTTTATGGCTTTATGAGACTTCTGTTTTAAAAATGGAAAAATGATTAAGGGGGGCGGGGTGTTTCTCTTCATTACTTACTCCACCTTGCCCCAGACCTTTAGATCTGGACTGGTACTGACACTTACCAAAAGGATTTCAGTGGCTTCTTCAATCTCTCCCTTCCAAAAGTACCTAGAAGAGTTAACAAAATTATAGAAAAATATTATCCTGCTTTAAGGTTAGGCAGAGCTCTCCTGAAATGCCATTCCCCTAACCCTATACTATCAGCTCATTTCTTGCTAGTTAAAAATGACTAAGATGGGGGCAGCTTGGTGGCTCAGTAGATAGAATATTAGCCCTGGAGTCAGGAGGACCTAGGTTTAAATCTGACCTCAGACACTTGACACTTACTAGCTGTGTGACTCTGGGCAAGTCACTTAACCTCGAATGCCTCACAAAACAGAAAAGAAATAAGAGGGTAAGGAGATGGGGAGAGGATAAGGGAGGGATAGGGAATAGGATAAGGTGGGGCATAGAAGGGTGTGTAGATTGAAGGGAATGGAATAAAGAGGGAACAACATATATATTTAGAAGGGTATAAAAATCTTCTAAATTCAGAATGAAATAAGAGGCTAAGGGGATAGGGTGGAGGGAGAGAATAAGGAAGGGATTCTTGAAGGGTGAGTAGGTTAAGGAATAGGAGGGCAAGGTAGTGGGTAGAAGCAAAGTAGAGGAGTGAAGAGGAAGAGGAATAGGGTGAGAAGGATCGTGAGGAAAATATGCAACAAGTAATTACAGTTTAGAATGTGAATTGGATGAATTTACCCACAAAATGGAAACTGATAGCAGATTAAAAATTGGAACTTAACAATATGTTGCTTTCAGGAAATGCTATAAAAATTAGAGCTACACACAAACATAAAATAAATATCAGGAGTAGAATTTATTATGTAAAAAAGCAGGGATAGTAATTATGATCTCAGACAAAGTTAGAGCTAAAATCAGATTTAATCAAAAGAGAAAAATAGGGAAACTATACCAAGTGTCAGCCATATTAATCAGTAGTTTTAGACCATATAAAATAACTAGACAGCATTAAAAAAAAGTGAGAGTAGGCCTGCCAAAACAGACCTAGGAACTATAAAAATATAAATACAAAACACCTTTTATACAAAGTTAGGTCTAAATAATTAAAGTAATATTTATTGTGCATGGGTAGGTAAAGCTAATATAATAAAAAAATGACAATTTAACCTAACTAATCTATTTATGCAATACCATCTCAACTAAATTACTAAGAAATTATCTTATTGGGTCAGAAAAATAATAACAGACTTCATTTGGAAGAGCAGAGGGTCAGGAACTTAAAGGAAACCAGAGAAAAAAAAGATGTGAAGGAACTAAATTCAGTAGTATCAGACCTTAAACCATATTCTAAGGTGAAAGCAGTGTTGAAGTGCAAAATGGATAATTTTGATTATTTTAAATAAAAATTTTCCTGTATAAATAAAACCTATGTAGCCAAGAATAGAGAGAATGCAGAAAATTGAGGAAAAAACGCTCATAGATAATCTCCCAAATAGTATGTGATTGGGTCGGAATATTGTTGTGGTGTAGGAAATGATGAGCTGGTAGATTTAGAAAAATGTGGAAAGATTTGGACTTACAAAGGAAGGTGCTATCCACCTTCAGAGAAACAGATGACAAGTGGAAATAAGCATAATGCAGTTGTATGTATGTGCATTTGAGTATTTATGTGTATATTTATGGATATCTATGTATGTGTATATATATATATATATATATATATATGTGTGTGTGTGTGTGTGTGTGTGTGTGTGTGTATATACACTTAATTGTAGCCTTCTTGGGAGTGGGGAGGAAGGGGGAAAAATAAAGTAAAAAGTGCACAGCAGAAGACAAATGAAAACATACTAGGAAGCAAAGAAAAGACGGACAGCTTTGAAAGTTATGTGCAATATTCATTATAATGGTTTTCCTGAAATGGAAATTTATTGCTTTATATTGAATTCTCTTCTGTTCTGCTGTGCACATGACAATGTTTTTTCTTTCTTTTCATATTTTATATTTAAGTTTAAATTTTAAAACTTTTTAAAAAATGACTAAGATGAGAAGGAAATTTTAAAACCTCCCTATCCCCTTTAATAAGGATTTCTAACCATAGAGAGAGAGAATATAAAATCCTAGAATCTTGGGGCCAGAAGGGACCGGAAAAGACTCAACTTTTTTTCTTTATTTGGGAACTCCCTATATAGAATCCATGACAAGTGCTCATCCAGGATATTTCCAGTGACAGAGAACTCGCTAATTCCTGTTATATTTTTGGACGACAACTCTAATTGTTAGTAAGTTCTGTATTTAAAGGAACCCAAATCTGCCTTCCTGTGACTTCCTCCTACTGTCCTTAGTTCCATAGAGAATAAAGAAGCTTACTCCATGCACCGAACAGCTTCTTTACATATCGGAAAACAAGTAATCCTATCCTTCCCTTTCTCCCTGCCTCCCCTTTCTTCAGGCTATTTATTCTAGCTTTCTGTGTAGCTCCTCATATGACATAGTTTCCTAGGTTCCTGGCCATACTACTGCTCACCCACCCTCCAGGTCATGGTATCCTTCTTAGAGGGTATCACTAAGAAGTAGACAAAAAGGTACATAGTCAGAACAGCAAATTAGGAAGATTAGTTCAGCATCAGTGTCAAGGATAGATTGGATAGGAAATAAGGTAAAGGCAGATCACCACAAAAGTCCCTATGGTAGCATGGAAAGGGAAGAATTGGTTTTAGAATCAGCAAACCTGGGTTTAGATACTAGCTCAGCTACTTACCTATGTAACCTTAGGCAAGTCAGCTAAACCTCTCTGGGTTTTAATTTCCTTATCTTAAAGAAAAGGAGGGGAGTGGTCTAGGTGATCTCTAAAGTCCCTTCTGGTGCCAGATCCTATGATAAGTAATATGTCTCTTAAGACATTCAGCACAATGGTAGTATGGGCATACCCTTTCTAAGGCTATTAATCGGTAGAGCAAGAAGTCAGTAAAGAGAAAATGATGTTATAAAGGGATGTGAGCCTCACAGGAAAGAGTGATGTTAGAATTATGCGCCTGAGCAAGTGATCTAACAGCAAGATTTAGTTATAACCAACGATGTGCTGGAGCCAGCTCAAACTGGTCTCACAAGAGCAGATTGTTAAATTTTCATTGGGAGTATTTATGCCTCAAAAATTGGCAAATGCTAAAAATCAGGACTTGGATTCTATTGTTGTTAGTGATTGTCTGGATTTCAGAACATGGCAGAGTAAATATTAATAATGCAGATTGAACTTAAGGGTATCTCGCTGCCTTTTTTCCTCTGGAGAGCTAGTTGTTAAACATTTGCAAGCACACCCTTGGTTATAACATATAAACAACTTTCTAGTGAAATGATGTCAGTAGGGGCAATGATATACAGGAAGTGCCTGGTTATGATTAATGATGAAATGTGTGATTCAGGCAGTTAAAGTGATGGGTTCTGAGGCTGAGGGAAACACTGAAAGCTGTAGAGGAAAGGGAAAGCTGTGTGGAAAAAAAGGATATGAGATGGGCCTTGCAGAATACAGAAGGAGTAAAGGGTATTCCAGAATGCATTCCAGCATTAGCCATGTGATATGTGTGGGAGGACAATGAAGAGATACCAATTTAGATGGATCAGAGGCTTCACATAGGAGCATAGTAGGAAATATGTTTGGCCAGGCTATAGAGGCCTTTAAATGCCAGGGGGAGGAAACAAATATTGTGTGAGGGACCCAATTCCCAGTAGTGTGCAAGAATCCTAACATGTCATAATTCACAGATTATTAAAGCTGGAAGGGACTTTAGAAATCACTTAGTACAACACTCTCATATTTTTAAAAATGTTTGATATATTTCATTTTTACATTATTTTTATTTCTAAAAGTATCCCTTCTTTCTCTACTCCCCAGGGAGCTTTCCTTTGTCACAATTTAAAAAAAGGAAAAGAAATTTAGCAAAAATAACCAATATATCAACTGAGCCTGTATACCCAGTGCTCCAAATCCACAGGGCCCTACCTCTGGAAGGAGGAAGAGGAGGAGAAAGAGGAGGAGGAGAAGGAAGAGGAGAAAGAAGAGGGAGAAAAGGAGAGGAGGAGAAAGAAGAGGAGGAAAAGGAAGAGGAGGAGGAAAAGAAGAAAGAGGAGAAAGAGGAGGACAAAGAGGAAGAGAAGAAAAAAGAGAAGGAGGAGGAAGAGGAGGAAAGATGCATTTTTTCCTTTCTTCTTCTAGGATATTGCTGATTGTTAGAATTCCACCGCATTCAGTTTCCTTCCCCCCACTCCCCCTACCCAACACTCTTTTTTTGAGTGCTCAGAAATTAAGTGATTTGCCCAGTGACCACCAGTTAATAGCAGACCTGGGATGTGAAACCAGTCCCTGACTTCTAGGTCAGTGATCTATTTGGTAATGTGCCATCCATTCCTCAAATTTCCCAAGGGATTATGTTGACTTTAATTTCCATATATTCGGTTTCTTGGTTCAAATATCCAACCAAACATCAAATGGCTACCACAGTCCAGGCAATGGAGCATTTTTGAGACCAGCAGTATTACAGAAATGATTTTGTGTTACAAACTGTAGGGGATTTGTTATCTGGTCAGGGTGCGGTGTAAGGTACTGGACTTGGAGTCAGAGGATCTGGATTTGAATTCAGAATCCTCAACTTACTGCCTTTGAGCTTTAAGACTGGACTTCATCTATTTTGACCTCAGATTTTACTTAGATCAGATGAGGGGGATGGACTAGAACAGGGGTTCTTCACCTCGGACCCATTACCTTGTTTAAAAGAAATTGTTTTTATAACTATTACCATATAGTTGGTTTCCTTTGTAACCTGATATACTTCATTTTATGCATTAAAAGGGGTCCACAGGCTTTACCAGACTGCCAAAATGAAACCTTTGCCAACCCAAAAGGTTTAGACCCTTCCCTAGCCTCAAAGACCTCTTCTTCTAGAAGTCCCTTCCAGCTCTCAACCCTGTCTTTATCTTGGGAGTGATGGGGAGCTTTGGAAGGGTTTGGAGCAAGTGAGTGCCATGGCAAAAGGATCGGCTCCTGGCTCTGGTGTTGTTCTGGGGCCTCAGACAGGCTTCTCTGAGGGCTCCTGGGGTGAACAGCAAGGAGATTATAATGCTAATCCGCAGCCCCGTCTTGCCCATAGCCCCTTCCCCAGTGCCAGCGGTGGGAACCAGGAGAGACAGCAGGCCCTACTCACAGAGAGGAGGCTCTCGGCAGGATATTCACGCAGGCAGCCAGCTTCTTATCTAGGATGGTCCTGAGGCAGAGAAAGGAGGGGGAAAGTGAGTGATTCAGAAAACAATTCTTTGCTAAAATCCAGTATCTTTGACCTGTGGACTGGCCTCTTGGGGATAAACTTAGCTCCAAGAAGTATGCTGTTAAACGTTTACTAACCAGCTCTCTAAAGAAAAAAAACCCCACTGTAAATAAGACATACTTTTAAGCTTAAGCTGCATTATTATCATTTCCTCCATCACTTCTTAAATCTAGGCAATCAACAAAACAACCACCGAAGCCCTGACTTATAGCATTTGCCAATTTCTAAAGTACAAACACTCCCAAAGAAAATTTAACAATCAGCAGACTGATTGGAGCTGACCCCAGCACACCCGTAGCTCCAAGGAAGAGTGCTAGGGAGAACAACCTCTTTTCCCCCGAGGCCTAGTGAAAAAGGAGCCCCTCAGAAAAGCCTTACCCATTGGAAGAAGGGGTTGTTAAAAGTTCAAGGTAAAAGTATGTCCTGGGATAGAAAAACCTATAGCCCAAGAAGGCAGGGGCAGAAATTACCACAACACTCATTCAATAGGGCTTTAAGCTTTACAGAGTGTTTCCATGTTGTGGTGAGGTAGAAAATACAAATGCCACTAGCCCCATTTTAAAGATGAAGGGACCAAGGCTCAGAAAGGTGTTATGATTCACCCAAGATCACACAGTAGGACACTGACAGAACCAGGACTCTAACCAAGGTTTTCAGGACTACAAGCTCCAAGTCCAATGCTCTTTCCATCATACCATTTTGCTGCCCCCAGGGAGCCTTAGTTTGACGTCTCTGTCAGCCTTAAAATGTGCACCCAACAGAATGAACTTTTTCTATTATATTAACTGAGTCTCTCTGTCCTGTTAGAACTGACCTATTTTCTCCTCTCTCAAATGCTAGTCTGAGCAGTGCTCTAGTTCACTTATCTGTTTAGAGTAGCACCAACAACGCGGCCCTAGCTTTTAGCTACTCTTAGAGGCAACACTAAAATTCCAGAGTCTAAATAAATCTTTTAATTGTATTAAGGAGGGTGAGGGGGCAGTCTTGTTTCTACAGCAACTGCTGGACAGTTTACTCACTCCAGACAGCCAAGCTCCAAGATTAATCTCAATTTGCTTAATCAGAGATGGGTGGCAGTCCAGAAGTCTGGACTGAGAGGCAAGAAAATGACATTTAACCCACTATGGGGCAGAAAGGCCAAAGCAGCACAACACTGTATGATGGGGCATGGGGAATGTTGAATTTGGTTTCATAGAATCTATTTTATTCTCAGCTCTACTAGTTATTTACCTGTGTGACTTTTAGCCAGTCACTTCTCCCTGGGTTTCACTTTCCTCATCTGTAAAAAATAAATCTGACCTATACCAAATGGATGATCTCTAAGGTCTCTGCCACCTCTAAATCCTATTTTTTTAATAGCTCATGATTCTGCCAAAGGGGAAATGGCTCAGCTCGCTAATCATGAGGGGAAGGTTGAATGACTCAGCTCCGTTGCCAGGTCAGATCTCACAACGGCCCATCCCCAACCCCTGGCCACTTGGGGGAAATGTCTAATGTTGTTATTGGACTTAAATTCAAAACATACACACACACCCACACCAATAAGTCATGTAAGAATTAGCCAGGCCCTCCTTCTGTACTCAGGAAATAAAAGACTAAACAAAAGCTCTCCCAGCCAAAGGAACAGGTTCGCTGGCCTCATGCCACCCACAACTAGAATCTGTACAGGTCGGTAGCCCTTAGGAAGAAGAGATCAGCTCCCTTTCCCAAGAACTTTGGTGACTATGTTCTGAAACCACTTGGCCCTGGAACATAAGTTAATGCTTTGGGGCAACAGAAAGGAACAGAGAGAGAGAAGACAGAAGGCTATAACTTGGTACCCTGTTTGCAGTCCTCTTGGGGGATGCAAACTAGCAAAGTGTCCTGAATGAGTGACAAGTGAAAGGTGAAGTAAATGCTACCGCAGTTTAGGAAAAATGTCCCAGAAACCTAGACAAGATGGGGAGAGGCTCCCCCATGGAGGAAAGGAGACTTGTGTCTGTGAGGAAAAAAGTGCTTGCTCTGTTGGCTGTCTGCCTGGGAAGTAGGGCTTAGTAAGGGACCCAGTCCTTGCCTTTTGTCCCATAGCCTGACCTCATAAGGAGGGGCGCTCCAGAAACCAGAGGAAAAAGTGTCTAGCCGTGACCAGCTTCATCTCAGTTACCAGAAAAAGTTCTAACTATCTGCATGGCTTTGGGCAAATCGCTCAACCTCTCTGGGCCTCTTGTTTCCCCACTTGTAAAACAAGTGGGTTGGACTTCATGGCCTCTAAAGTCTTTTGTAGCTCTAAAGCTATGATCCTACAAATGTCTCCCAGCCAAAGTCTCTCTCGCATGCTCTTTTGGAAAGGCTATGAAAAGGTGGAAGGAAACTTAGAGATAGATTAACCTCTATCACCCTCATAATCTCCTAATCTGTAAAAAGGGGGAAATAAAATGTTCACTTACCACTTCAGAGTTGTGAGAAAGATGCTTAAAGCACAATAAAAATTTGAGATATTACCCTCATAGGATAATAAGATTTAGAGTTGGAAAGAACCCTAAAAGTCATCTGGTTCAGACCCTTTCATTTTACAAATGAAGAAACTTAGGTCTAGAGAAAGGAAGTGACTTACAGTCGTACAATGAGGTAATACCAAAAGTGGCACTAGAACCCAGGTCTGACAATTGACACACCAATGCTCTGAGGACAACAATGTGATCTCAGAGGAACAGCTATATGGGCTACCCTAACCTTGCCTCCCAAAACATCCTGCAATTCCAGAAAGTTTCTGGAACTAGTTTCTGTACTGTATGCCTCTGGACTTAGAGAACACAGGTCTTCATGGGGAATAGTGGGAGAGTCGCGTAGAACAGGGCTGGGGTGAAGTGGGCATTGAATAATTCATATCTGGCCTCAGAGAAGAGCATGAATAGTGTCCCTGTGTACTACAGGCCAACAGGGCCACTGGTCCTATGTGTCCTCCAGATTAAATATTAATATGAAGAAAGTGAAAGGAAAAGACTCAATAAGGAAAAATGAAGCCAAGGCCAGAGTTGATCTGATCTTAGCTGCCACTGTCATTAATTTTCCACAAAAGAACATTTAGCTCCAAGACGGTAGGGGGTGTATTTTGTTTCTTTTTTGAGCACTGCAAAAACAGCCGGGCTGTGAATTAGAAAGGAGGGGGCCCAAGCAGGCCAGGTTGGGCCATCCTCCAGCTCTCTTTGTAGCTATTTTCTTTATTGCTGTCTTTTAATACCATGTAAGGTTATCTTGGGCTAACAGAAGAGGAAATGGGCTTGTTCTACTTGGCCCCAGAGGGCAAAACTCAAAGCAATAGGAAGTTATGGGGATGGAGATTTTGGTTTGGCATAAGAAATAATTTCCTAGAAATGGGCCCCATCTCCAGTGGAATGACCTACCTCAGGATTTAAAGGGTCACCCCATCAAACTAGCTGGCCACTTGATGGGAATTTTGTAAAGAGGATTCATGCTTCAGACTGGGGCTGGATGGGATGACCTCTAAGATCACGTCCAACTCTAATATGCTGTATTCCCAGCTCCTAACATTTTGATTCAATTAACCCTGAGGGAATTGAGAAGATTAGGACACCAAGTGGTTAAGTGTGGGAATTGAGTGAACCACACTGATACCATCTTCTGATTCAATTCTGGAGCTAGCTTAGTTTCTATTCAATTATGGGTCTGGTCCAATTTCTGTATTATGAGAAAACTTTATTCAATCATGGGAAGTGGGAGAAAATTTTATTGCATTGTTTGAACCCAGCCCTGCCTGGCTAGGAAACTGGACCACCTCTACCTGCTATTTAGAAACCCCTTAACCAAGGACCTAGGATATGCTGACCAAGAGCTCAGCCAGATCAAAAGGCTGACTCAAGTTTTCTCACAATCTCAAGTAACTCATATGCCTTATCTGAAAACTGGCCCCATACTGACTGATCAGTTATTGTTTACACTTAGGGGGAGCGGGACACCTCTTTTTCACCTGTTCACTCTTCTCTCCCTGCCCCAACTTGGGAAGTCCCTAATCTTTCATACAATTAGAAATCAGATTACTAATGTTGTATCATTTCCTTTTAATTAATTGGCCCTATGTGTTTAACTGTTTTCAGTGTATAAAAGTCTGTCTCCCTCTGTATTCCAGGCCCAATCTTAAGCTGAGAAAGGGCCTGGTCTCAATGTTAGGCAATTGGCATTCATTGCTTAATAAATCGATATGCCCAGAAGGTCAAACCTTTGTTTTCCTCAGTTATTTCCTCTTTTACCCACCACACCCCCTAAAGAAAAACTGACAGTAGGGAAGTCCTTAAATACTTTAAATACTCTTGAAGGAATATGAACCCCAATTCTAGGCGTTCTTTCCATTTGACATTAATTAGCATCTCTGAGGCTGAATCTGGAAAATTTTAAAAAACCAATTCAAAGTATGAACTTCAGGATGTGTGTGTGTGTGTGTGTGTGTGTGTGTGTGTATTAGGGGGTCTAATACACAGATCTAGTGGAAAGAATAGTGCTACTAGAGTCAAATGACCTGGATTTGTTTCTTGGCAATGACACTTACCAGCTATGCTCTAAGCAAGTCACTTCACCCTTCTGAGACCCAATTTCCCCATCTGTAAAATGAGGATGGTACTTGTACTCCCCCTATCTCACCTTGAAACTCTTGAAGTACTATATAAATATTATTGTTCTAGCATCAGTACTTGTGTAGTTAGTAGAAAGAGCGCTGGATTACAGAGTTAGATAGGGGAACCTAGGTCTTGGTCCCAGGTCTTTCAATTCCATCATCTGTAAAATGGGAATAATAGTACTCACCCTTGCCTACTTCACAGAGATGTTTTGAGGATAAAATGGGAAAAAATATGAAAGTGATTTGAAAATTATGAAGTGAAATTATTTGCTCTAAGGAATGGCTCTCTGGGAGGGGGAAGAGGAAGGATATAGTGTGAAAAGCGGTGAAATTTAGGCTATGTAAAAACAAAGGACACCAATACTGTTTTTTGATAAAGAAACTATAAAGCAGTATTAAAAGAAAAGGGATTATGATTATAAATAACCCTACTTCACTTTCAAAGACCATTGCTAACTGATTGCCAAATGAAAACAGCAATGGCACCTTACATTAGTATAGGGCAAATGAAATAATATATGTGAAGTGCTTTGCAAACTTTATCCCACAATATAAATGTGAGCTATTATTGTTATTTAACTTTCTTTTCACAGAGACCAAAGGGTCCATCAAGTCATATCTCCTTGACTCCAAAATGTGTAGGGCTGAGTAGTTTTAGCCTAGAAAGGGAACAAACAAAGCCCCACTCCTAAGGCAATATAACAGCTCTGACATCTTCTAGCCCACAAAATGGACCCCTACGCCCTATATCCCGTCACTCTACCTTGCTATATCTTTGGCGATCTGTTCATTGGGGCAGTTGACAAAGGCAACTGAGTGAGTCCCAGAGAGGTAGCTGCCAGTAACCGCTGAGTGGAGTTGGAGGCTGATGGTCCTCAGCACAGGGTATGAGAGGAGGAAGGCCATCACCACCTAGAGAAAAGTCAGGGCACATGGGTCAAGACTGCCTATGTCTATTCAACCCTTCAGAGAAACCACATTATGGAACCACATTCACTCATTCATTCACTTATTCATGCATTGAGGCAGCTGGTAGTGCAGTGGATAGAGGGCTGGGCCTTGGATTAGGAAGACCAGAATTCAAATGTGACTTACTAGTTGTGTGACTTTAGGCAAGTTGCTTAATTGCTGCCTGCCTCAGTTTCCCCAACCGTAAAATGGAGATTATAATACCACCTACCTCTCAGGATTATTGTGAGGGTTGAATGAGACAATATTTGTAAAAAGTCCCTAACACAGTGCTAGAACATAGCAGGCATAACATAAATGTTTTCCCTTCCGTTCATTCAACAAACACTTACTAAGCATCTCCAGTGTATAAAACATTGTGCTAGGAACTAGAGAGATACAAAGTTTGGGTAAAACATGGTCCCTGCCTTCAGAGTGCTTATAATTTCATAGATGGATAAAACACAAACATACAATATTACAGGGTAAATGCACTAAATAATTGCATAACAAGCTACTATGTGAGGTCCGAATGTGAAGGTCAATGCTCACAAGAGGAATTAGAACCTTCAATTTTTTTTTTGGCTCCATCCCCTAACCTACTTTAAGATTATGGTACCTGCATTGGCCAAGTACCTGCCTGAAGATTCTCTTGATTTCTTCAGCCTCAGTCACCTATCTGCCTGTCTTACAGGCTCACGTGATCTCAGAATTGGAAAGTATCTCAGAGAACATCTGTCTGGTCCAAACTCTGCCTGAACAAAAACACTCTCTAAAATCTCCTCCCTAGTGTTGTCATTTAGTCTTTGCTTGAATACCTCCAGTTATGGGAAGCTCAGTGCACTCAGCTACAGCTCATTGCACTCGAGTATAGCTTGAAATGTTAGAAAGTCATTCTTACATCAAGCTTAAATCCATCTCTCTGAAATTTCTACTCACTCACTGCTCTTAGTTTTGCCCCATGGAAATAAGCAGAAAAAGTCAAATCCTTCTTTCACATGTAGGCTTTCCAAATACTTGAAGACAGTTATCATCTGAGTCTTCTGTTCCCTGTGCCAAATACCCCTAGTTCCTTCAACCCATCCTCATGACATGTTGTCAAGGCCCTTCAATATTCTACGTGCCCTCCTCTGTACCTTTCCCTGCCTATCAGCGTCCTTCCTAAAATTCTAGATGTGCTCTGAGCAGGGCAAAAGACAGGGAATATCACTTCCCTAGTTCTGTACCTTTTTTGCTTAATATAGCCTAAAGTCTCATTAGCTTTATCCATTAAAACCCCCTTCAGACAAACTCCCATCCAACCACATCATTACTATTGTGGAACTGTGAAGTTGATTTCCGGAAGCCAAGTGTCTAACTCCAGCTTCTTCTGACCAGAGAACATGTCTGATTATATACTCCTCCCACTCCCAGTTCTAAAATGTACACCAGATGGAGTAGGGGCCATGAGTTCTGTCAGAGTACCTGGATTCAAATCCCATGTTTGATTGATATGGACAGTCCATAGGACTTCTTTGGGACTTAACTTCTTTGGGACTCAAAATAAATCAAAGAGATTGGGTAAGCACTCAGGTCTATTTCAAGTCTAAATCCTATGATCCTAAGTATGTAACCCTGGGCAAATCACTTAGCTACTCTGAGCCTCAGTTTCCTTATTTGTAAAATATAGATAATACTCTCTATCCTCATTGGGTTTTTGTGAGACTCAAAATAAGACAATTGCTGTTAAAGGACCTTGTAAAGTATTTTTACTTAATTTTTTCTAAGTCCTTTAACATCTAATTTCCCATTATACAAATGGGAGATATGATTATTTTAGTAAGAAGTGGTGTTAAGTATCACATACATATGGAGGACAAATATTAAAATCTTCAAAAAAGAGACTTCCTTGCATTTTCTCAGTGTGTACCTCCAGAGCTCTCTGGAAGGACTCCAGCATTTTGGGCATCTCTGGATCTCCACCCTCTTTCCCTGGCCTTGCTCAAATCCATTTCTGTTCTCCCTCTCTTGCTCCCCAGTCTCTCTGCCTTTGGCTGGCTCCTGTCTTCTGGCACGGCATGACTGCCGTCTTTATTTCTTTACTTTCTGAGTTTGACTAAATGGCAGGCTGGTTTTTTTCTCCGCCACAGCCACATCTTTCCTCTCATCTGCCTCTGACTTGGCAATCCAACTGCTCTAAAATAAGACGTAACTGCTTGAAGGATCCAAACCATGACATCCAGTAGGGTCTTTTTAAAAAAACAAATGATTATGTATGACTAAATGATAGACTATCAGAACTGAAAGGATCTTAGAACATAGAATGACAGAGCTGTACGAAGTGATCTTAAAAATCATCCAGTCTAACCCTCTTACTTGTCAGGTATGGAAGGACAAGAGAGACATAAACAGAGATAGACAGGCACACAGGAGACAGAAAGGATAAACTGGAAGAGAATATCGGAGAGACAGAAAGTCAGAGAGTAGCAGACATCCGACCACATGTCCTGCTTTCTCAGTACCCTCAGATTTCAGAGGTACTCCAACCGGATAAAGTCCAAACTGAGATCGGAGCCCCTGGGGGCCAGGGGTAGCCCAAGCAACTTCACGATCCACTTCTATCAAGAAAGCCTAGTCCCCAGGCTCAGGGGACAATAGGCATAACAGCAAAGTGGGAAGTTTTGAAGGAATCAGAAGCTCCATTTTGCATTTTTAAAAATTCCCTTTAATGAGATAAAATAAATGCAATAAAATTAATTTAAACGTGATTTTGATATAAAAATGTATAATGTTTTATTCTCCTTAGCCCTGACCGATACCGGTTCCTTTTTCACAGTTTTTTCACTTTTCTTCGGTTTCAGCAGGGTTTTCTCAAGCTGGGGGGAGAGGAAGGAAGAGGACTCAATAGGGAGGAAGGAGGCTGTTGGTATCGCCAGTCACTCCAAGGGCAAAGGAGAGGATTCCCACTATTTACCCACTGCCCCAGGGTATTGGCGGCCATTCCCAGTTTTCACCGGCAGAGGCTGTGTTTTAGAAACAGACTGGATTTGGAGTCCGAAAACCAGGTTTAGAGTTTACCAAATATGCCACCTGTGTAACCTTGAGCAAGTTTATTGCCCTCTTTGGGAATCGGTCTCCCCATCCATAAAATGAGTAAGTTGAACTAGATTGCCATGGTCCCGTGGGACTTTGAATCCCAAGATTCCTAAGGTCCTAGGGAAACCCTCCCTCGGGCCGGGCACTCACCAGGAGCCAGGAGAGGCAGCCGGGGCGAAGGCAGCTCTGGGCAGCAAGCGGCGGGCAGCGCTGAGTCAGCCAGTCCATGGTGCCCTAGGGGGCCAGCGGCGTGCGGGCCCCCCGCCCCTGCTCAGCTGCAGCAGCGGAGCTGCCACCCGGGCGCCCTCTGGGACCCCGCTAGGCTGTGCTTGGCCCAGGAGCTGCCGGACTTCCAGGACTCTCGAGCCCCTCCCCTCCTCTCCTCTTGACTCCTCCTTCCAAAGGCTGTCCTGGTATTAGCGCCTAGGCTTTTCCACCTGCCACTGCCCAGCCAGCTCCCCTCAACCTCCAACTTGGGATTTCCTTTCTCAGTCAGACTTTCTGCCCCGGAAAATTGACGTTACAGGAGGGCCTTCGAATCAGAACAGATGGTCCTGCAGCGGGGTAAGAAGCTGGGAGCTCAAGGGTTCAATCACACGCAAATTGGATCATAGAACTTAGGGCTAGAAGCAACCTTAATGACCATCCGTCCAGTCCAATACTCGAATTTTACAGAGGATGTCAGACTCAGAGGAGGAAACTGACATGTCTGAAGATAGATTGGCATTTGAGGGGGGAGGGGGAAGCTGTGACAGGCCTAAATCGATGATTTCATCCTTCAAGGAAATTCAGGTATGGAAACTCCCTCCACCAAAGTAGATCATCAACTCATTTATAATTTAGAATGTTAAAGAGTTAAAACGAGGCTCTGAAAAGTGATTTACCCATGTCATCTAGCATGATTTGCCTATGATTGACATATGATTTACCTATGTCATATAGCATGTGTCAGAGGCAGATCTTGAACCCAAGATTCCTGTTTCCAAGGCAGGCTCTCTAACCTTGGATCACCACAGGTTGCTGTCTCACAAATAATGATAATATCTGGTATTTATGTGGTACTTTAAGATTTGCAAAGTACTTTATATTTGTATACTATTATATTTTATATTTGAAGAGCTGCTCCTGGGTTCCTATAAGAGTGGAGGGTATTACACTCACTCCCTGCTCTGTGCCTAGGCCTGCCATCTGGGCAGGCTTCAATCCTGAGGAATTTGGTCTCTAATGAAGGCAGTTACTCACTTTTCTTATACTTTTTGGTTAATTAAGTCCCCACAGGGAGGCCTCAAGGATGAGTTTACTTGGAGCTTAACAGGTATGACTCATTACTAGGGCCTCCCCAAAGGAGAGTGAAAAGGCACCAAATGAACATTATGAATCAGATACAGGAAAGGGAATTCATTATTTTTTTCCAATTTTATTAATTTATTTATTTTTAGTTTTCAACATTCACTTCCAGAAGATTTTGAGTCCCAAATTTTCTCCCCATCTCGTCCCTTTCCCCACCCCAAGATGGTGTGAGTTCTGAATGCCCCTTCCCCTAATCTGCCCTCCCTTCTATTTCCCACCCCCTTCTCTTATCCCTTTCCCCTTCAATTTTCCTGTAGGTCAGGATAGAAGGGGAATTTATTCTTACATACAAAAGGAATGCTAAACACTAGATGCTCACAAATGTGAGCATTCCAAAAAACAAACTTAAAATAAGATTCAGTAACTTAATTTATAATTACTGTGGCAATCTAATGGGAGATTGATAAGTAAACCTCATGGGAACATAAAAGTTGGCAGAACTGCTGATTAGGTATTTTACATTTTTGCCACAGCTTTGTACTCTGTTCAAACAACTCCCAGTACTGTCCAGACAATTTCAGTTAGATGTCTCCCGGTAAAGTGAGCAGACTAGGGCCTATCTTTTTGTCAATGGCTGTCCTTTTTAGGAGCACTTCACTAATTGCTGGGAACATTTCTCCACACTGCCCTGACAAAAAGAAAAAGCTACAACCTGGTGAGACTTAGGACTTCCTGACTTCTCAAATGCACAAGATCAGGTCCAATCCTGAACATTACTTCAGATTCAATACTCACATGCCTAAAATCAGGAAAGAGTAAGCCCAAAAAAGGCAGCTCAAATCCAGGCTGAGGCTTATCTAGTGGGAGACAGACAGGTACTTAGGTTGCCACGTACTGGCATCCAGCCATCTGGAGACCAGCTACCCGACTCTCAAATACAGCTAGAAAGGAAGAGAGAGATCTGGGTCTGGCTACTCCCTTTTAAACATTTATTGAGACATCACTTTCTCTAGTCCACAGCCAACAAGCAGACTCAAAGTCATCTACAAGTGCAAGTCTCTCAACAATGAGTCATACCTGGCTACAGTCAACCCTCCCTTCCCCCAGCTTGATCTACACCAAAAATGAGGACTTTGATCCCAATTCATGACAAAAGAGAGGGGGATGACCCCACTATATGCACATTATTTCCTTTTGTCTTCACAATAATCTTGTTAGGTAAATACTGCAAGTATTATTATCCTGCATTGTATAAGATGAGGAAACTGAGGTACACAAAGGTAAAATAATTTGCCCATGAGTGAACTTGCCCAAAGCTAGGTCCGTGGATCATAGATAAAGTGTTGAAAGGGACCTTACAGGCCATCTTATGCACTCTAGGCACCCATGCCCATATAAATGAACACTCACAGCTAAAGATCCACATGCACTCACATAAGTGTCTCAGCCCTGACCCTGGAGGGAGAACCCCAGGAGGTTCCTGGAAACAAACATTTCTGTTTATTTATAACAGCATGACAAGGCTGAGGGTGTGTCAAATGTGGCCTTTAGCTGAGGCTGGCTGGGTATCACAGCATCATAGGTTTAAAACTGGAAGGGGCCTTAGAAGGGATGCCTTGTTGTTTACTTTAAGGAGAGCCCATGAACCAATCAAACTACCAAAAAATTATTTTATAGAGCTAGAAAAAATAACAAGATTCATTTGGAAGAACAAAAGGTCCAGAATGTCAAGGGAACTAATGAAAAGAAATGCATGGGAGGGTGGCCTAGCTGTTCCAGATCTTAAATTGTATTATAAAGCAGAAATCATCAAAACTGCTTGGTACTGGCTAAGAAATAGAGTGGTGAATCAGTGGAATAGGTTAGGTATGCAAGACACAGTAGTCAATGACTACAGTAATCTACTATTTGATAAACCCAAAACCCCCAGCTTCTGGGATAAGAACTCACTATTTGACAAAAACTGCCAGGAAAACTAGAAAAGAGTATGGCAGAAACTAGGCATAGACCAAAATCTCATGCCATATAACAAAATAAAGTCAAAATGGGTTTATGATTTAGATAAAAAGGCTCATACTATAAGCAAACTGGGAGAGCAAGGAATAGTTCACCTATCACCTAAAGAACAGAAGAATTCATATCCAAATAGGAGACAAAGAACATCATGAAATCCAACATGGGTAATTTTGATTACATCAAATTGAAAAGTTTTTGCACAAACAAAGCCAATGCAACCAAGATTAGAAGGAAAGTAGGAAATTGGGATAGAATTTTTACAACCAGTGTCTCTGATAAGGGCCTCATTTCTAAAATATATAAAGAATTAAGTCAAATTTATAAGAATACAAGTCATTCCACAATTGATAAATGGTCAAAGGATATGAACAGGTACTTCTCAAGTGAAGAAATTAAAGCCATCTGTAATTATATGAAAAAATGCTCTAAATCACTATTGATTAGAGAAATGCAAATCAGAACAACTCTGAGGCATCACACCCAACCACATCACACCTATCAGGTCAACATAACAAAACAGGAAAATGATAAATGTTGGAGAAGATGTGGGAAAATTGGAACACTAATGCGTTGTTGGTGGAGTTGTGAAATTATCCAACGATTTTGGAGAGTACTTTGGAACTATGCCCAAAGGGCTATAAAAATGTGCATACCCTTTGATCCAGCAATAGCACTTCTAGGTCTGTATCCTAAAGAGATCATACAAATGGCAAAAGGACCCACATGTACAAAAATATTTATAGCAGCTCTTTTTGTGGTAGCAAAGAATTAGAAATTGAGGGAATTCCCATCAATTGGGGAGCGGCTGAACAAGTTGTGGTATATGAATGTAATGGAATACTATTGTGATATAAGAAATGATGAGCAGGCCGATTTCAGAAAAACCTGGAAAGACTTGTATGGTCTGATGCTGAGTGAAGGAAGCAGAACCAGGAGAATGTTGCACGCAGTAACAGCCATGTTATACAATGACTAATATTTATAGACTTAGCCCTTCTCAGCAATGCAAAGATCTAAGACATCTCCAAAGGTCTCATGATGGAAAATGCTATTCACATCCAAAGAAAGAACTATGGAGTTTGAATGAAGATCGAAGCATACTATTTGCTATTTTTTTCTTCTGTTTTGTTTTCTATTTCTTTTGGTTACTCCTATTGGTTTTAATTCTTCCATAATATGACTAATGTGAAAATATGTTTAATAGGAATATATATCAGATTATGTGCCATCTTGGGGGGGGGAGAAAAATTTAAAACTCAAAAGCTTATGGAAGTGATTGTTGATAAATCAAAATAAATTAATAAAAAAAAAAGGGCCCGTGAAATGAATGTGGGAGATTAGAAGATTTAAAATAGGGCAGATAGAGAGTAGATGGGGCAAGAAGGAAAGGCAAAAGGGACAAGGAAGCTATGAGGGAAGAGGAGGAAGAACTAATCTACCCCCCTCCTTCTTCCCACTAGCTCATATTCTTTTTAGATTTCAACAAATATATATTAAGCACTTAAAGTGTGCAAGGACTTTTGCTCAATAGGATGTGGGAAGAAGGAGAGATACAATAATGTGTAATATGTGATCCTTTACACTCATGGAAATTTACAGTCTAATAGGGAGATATAATACATTTGCATCTAGCTATACTTTAAAATAATAACCCCATCAAAGGTTCATATGTGCACACACTTCAACAGGCTGTTGTGAAGATCAAATTGGATAATTTTCCTTAAAGTGGTATATAAATGCTAGCTGCTGTTGCTACTACTACTACTGCTGTTGCTGCTGCTGCTTCTACTACTACTACTACCACCACCAGAGATAAGGGAAGTCCATAGTTCCTACTCTCAGTTCAATTCAATTTAACAAGCATTTGAGGTCCATACTTCTTAGATGTATGACCTTGGACAAGTCACTTAACCTCTGTTTGCCTCGTTTCTTCTACCATAAAATGAGAATAATACTAGCACCTACCTCCCTGGGTTGTTGTGAGAATCAAATGAAATAATATTTGTAAATTATTTAGCACAGTGCCTGGCATGTAGTAGGAGCTATGTCAATGCTAGCTATTATTGTTAAGTATTTACAC